TAACTTTTACTGTTTTACTACCCCCCACAAGTCAGTGCCCAGGGCTGCTGCACCAGTCACCTTGCCTTCATGACACAACTGACTACACTTCATAAAAGTTAAAAGTCTGATATTTCCCCCTCTCCCTAGGGATAAGCAACTGAGAGACTCCTAGCCATAGAGGGTTTTGTTCCTCTGTTCAACATCATACTGAAATTGGGGGTTAGTAGAAATTTTTCCCCCTGGTAAGACTGGCACAGGCTGTGGGGGCTTTTACCAGCCTTTTGTAGTGGAAAGCTGGCATGTCATTCACTTTGTGCCCCAGGCCAGATCCAGACCGGGGTGCGAGGAAGTTGCCACAGTGGAAGTGGCTCTGGCTCTGCACCAGAGCATGGACACAGAGTGCCTCTAGCTCCAGCTCCAGCTGCATCAGTGGCAGGGCTGTGGCAGTGGCGACTGAAGTGGCCAGAGGACGACCAGGGCTGTGTGAGCCCTTGCTCACTCTCCTTCCACCAATTATCACTCTGTGGCAGGCCATTCGCCCCCAGTCACACCAGGAGTCCAGCAAGAAAGCAGCTCTATGGGCTGGATCTAGCCCATGGGCCACATGTTTGACCTTCCCTGGTATAGGGCATGGCTTCTTCCGAACATCCAATTCCTTCCTTGCTGTTGTTACTGCAGTGGCAGGACTTTGGCAGTGCCCTTGTCTCCCCCGCTTTGGCATATCGGAGGGTATTGGTGTTTCTGGTTTTGTGCTTTGTACTTGTGTGACAAGGTTTGAAGTGGGGATTTTGGGGAAGCTTCTTGGATAAACAGTTGCCTGCATAAACATACTTGATCACTCAGGAAGCTCCTTACACTTCCATGTTCCTGGAGTTCGAGGATTTGCAAGGTTTACATAAAAGGAGAGGCTGCACTAGCTTTATTTAGACATGAATGGAGAAAGCTTTAGAAGAGACTGTAAGTTATGTGGTTATAGTTACAAAAAGCATTGTAAAAACTGCTCTGTTCTTTTGTGTATACAATCACAATGCAAGGAGGAGGATGAAGTTATAGCAGGTCATTTTAACACAAATAGAAGGAAATCTTTCACACACATGCAGCCAGCCTGTGAAAATCCCTACTGCTAGAGGCTGCAGAGTCGAATATTGCTGCTGGAATTTTAAATAGTGCTGGTTAACTTAACTAGATAATTCATAAAAAAAAAATAATAATAAAAAAAAAAAAAATTGTATTAATGTATGGGAAGGCCCTGATCTGGCCAAGAGCATTTCCTGAGCAGCTTCAATGAGGATTAGATTTTGGACCTAAGGGCAGGCGATCAAATGCCATGTTTCAGAGAATGGGGTGGCTACTGTGTCAGCCAGGAAGGACATTTTTCATCCTGGTACATTATTGTGCAATGGAAGCAACTCTTCATCTCTTTTTGAAGCATTATAGTTCATGCTGGACTTGATGGATCGCCAGTGGTTTGATATAATAGACCACACCTCTGTTCCATTGCACCCCCCTCCCTTGTATGATGACATTTATTTTAGTTAAAAAAATATTTGGCCCCCCTGGAGAGTGTTTTTGCTTGGGGGAAGAATTTAACAGCATGCCAGGCAGAGGGGGATTGGTATCACGTCTTGGTCCAATTCTAACTTGATTAAGTATGTTTTGACTACTTCTATGCCCCCTGTAATGTCAATAGAATATTATGCTTTCTCCAATTAAATGTTGTTGCGTTACCTCCCCTCCAGTAGTACAGTATTTTGATAGCATTGCGTGGGTCCCCAGATGACTCCTTTAATTCCTTTTGAATTCTTTTATTTCAGTGCACCCTCCTTGCTGGAAGTACTGTCCTACTTCTTTTGAGGGAAGCTGTTGCAAGAAGCAAGAGAAATACGTTCTCTCTTCTGTCTCTCTAGTCTCTGTTTGTGGGGCAGAGGTGCTTCCCAGGAACTGAGTGTTTGGTTTTGAGGCTGAGATTTCTGAAAGGGATTTCTCCTGTGTGCTGTTTGGGAACAAGGGCTTTGTTTAAAGATTAATGTGCTTAGGGCAAAGAAACCAGTTACACTAAGGAAATACCCAGACTATCACTGATCCCCCTTCCAACCTGAAGCTGACCTGCCAGGTCTGAGTATCTCCTGCTGCTTTTCACAGGGATGACAGGACACGCTGCAATGTAAATGGATTCAGTTCCTTTTTAGATAATATTTTACCCCTGTATAAGCATATTCCAGTAAACCCTCTACCTAAGGCACCATTAGGATGCAGCCATGGAAGATGGTAGACAATTAATTCCCTGCATTCTGCGCAGTCCTGGGTTTCCTTGGAGGGGCAATTGGCCAAACCCGCAGAGCAAACCAGTGCATTGAGATTTTTAACGTCTATGCAGATCATGGAAATACCGAAGCTCTAGGTCAGTGGTTCTCAAACTTCATAGGCTTGAGGCACCCCTCATTAGTCTACAGGCACCTGTCAGAAAATGCCAGCTCTGAGCTTTCTTTCCTTTTTTGACTATGGAAAAATAGAGCAATTTTTCTGTAGCCAAGAACTCAGAAAGCCTGCAACAGGTCAGAGGCTATTTGAAGTCTCTGGGTTTACCTTCTAAATTGTGTTTGCACACCTACCAGTACTAGCACTGTGTGGCAGTGTGGCAGCCTGGAAAGGAGCTCAAGGCACCCTATGGTGCCCTGGCTGTGAATCGCTGCTTTTGGCATAGCAAAGGAATGCCCCGTCCATTCCTTTGCCAATGCCAACGTGATTTCCTATAATGCAGTCTTGTGTCCTGTCCAGCGTAACTGTAATAACCCTCAGAAGTGATGTGTTTTCCACCACTGCCCTTAAAAGATAGAAAAGGAAAGGGCTTTTTAAAAGTACCCACCAAAAGCTCCTTCAGCTGTACAGAAGTGCTGGGAAGGTGAAAATCTGAGTTCTGGATCCTGGCCTTGTGCTAGGTCCATGGGTGGATCTAGAGTTGTGAAAAGGGAGGTGCATCATCACACAGAAAACCACACGTCCTTTTCTCCCGCTAAAAATAAACTAGAGTCTTTCCTCATATGCAAGGGCCCAGGATTGTATTATTCAAAGCAAAAGCAAATAGGACTTCACTGGCATGAGTTGAAAAGCAAATCTGCAGGGCTGTGAAATAGGAGCTTTGTGAATGGAGGCTGGCCGGATTAGTGGAGCATCAAGACCATTCAAAAGGAGAGAGGGTGGTGAACCTGGGGGAATGAAGAGCGGAGAAGGAATCCAGTCCGCGACAATGAGCCGGGAAGTCGGGCAATCCCTGGTCCCGGGAAGGTTCTTAGTGTAAGTTCTGTCGCAGTGGACATTAGACCAAACCTTACAAAATGTCTAAATGGGAAAGAAGTTTTTGCAGCAGTCTTCTGTCCTCCACCTGCCAGGGTTTTTTTTTTCCTTTTGTCAAAACCAAACCTGCGTGCCCTTCCTTGACAAAAAGACATAAGGAATTGCTTGGCTGCTGTTCATGGGCTGGTTGGTTATTGAATGGAGGAAGGTGGTCTTGTGACAGTGAGCTGGGTGGAGGTGCAGATTGTAGGGTGGCCACCATAGAGGACCTTCCAGTTTTCTGCTAGTCTGTCCTCTACTGGTACGAAACTGGATGCCTTTATGCCCTCTATTTTTCTGTAGTCAAGAACAGGTCAGATGCTATTTGCAGTCTCTGGGTTTACCTTCTAAATCATGTTTGCGCACCTAACAGTGCTGTTAGCAGTGCCACTGTGTGGCAGCCTGTGACACCCTGGAAAGGATCCCAAGACATCCTTTCCCTTCAAGAGAAAAATAGAGGACATCAAGGCATCCGGTATTGACAGAGGACAGCTAGACTGTCCTCTCTGATGGCCACCCCATAGATAGTGAAGGGCAGGGCTAGGATGCAGAATGACCTGGCTAGACCGGAGAAACGGGCTACAATCATGCGGGTGCAATTCAGAAAGAACGAGTGCCAAGTCCTACCCCAGCTCTTAGCGCGCAGGGGCTGGACCCCGGGATCATCTGAGGCCCCGTCTGCCTGACAGCCTGCGACTCCGCAAACACCTGCTTTACCCCCCCGTGCCCTGAGCGGGCAGAGTCTGGCCGCAGCCTCTCGACCCTCCTTTGCACTGAAGCCCCCACTACCTCAAGGCAGGGGCGGCTTTAGGGGAGGGCAAACCTGCCCCCCACTACCTCAAGGCAGGGGCGGCTTAAGGGGAGGGCAAACTTGCCCCCCACTATCCCAAGGCAGGGGCGGCTTTAGGGGAGGGCAAAACTGCCCCCCACTACCTCAAGGCAGGGGCGGCTTTAGGGGAGGGCAAA